CCCGCGCACGCGCAGCCGCCCCTCGCGCGTCAGCCGCCGGGAGCGGCAGCCCTTGCGCAAGCGCACAAAGACTCAGAGACGGGTGCACGGAAAGCTGCCTTTATTGAAGGTAAGCGCCGCTCCGAAGCTCAAGCGGAGGTGCCCTCGCCGCGCTCGGGCTTCACGCGGAGGTGCCCGCGGCGGTCTGGAGCCTCACACAGAGGTGCCCTCGGCGGGCTGCGCCTCCTTCTTGTTGTCCTCTGGTTTCATGGCGGGGAAGAGCAGCACCTCCTGCAAGCAACGATAGCGTCAGCGGCCCCGCGACCGGCAACACCACAACCCCTGCACAGGTCTCGCGAGAGCTGCCCTAGCCCCGGCTCCGCAGCTTTCCCCAGGTGGGATTCTGCGTCTTGAAGAATCTCACACAGCTGCATTGGCAAGCCCTGCTTTCGTCGAAGAGATGGCCAGCTTCGCCCAATCCCATTCCCTGTTCCCTGACAAACCCAGCAGTAGAAAGGCACTGCCACTGCTTATGCTTACCTTGATGTTATTGGAATCTGTAAGGAACATGGTCAAGCGGTCAATTCCCATGCCCCAGCCAGCTGTAGGAGGAAGACCATACTCCAGTGCGGTGCAGAAGTTTTCATCAATAAACATGGCTTCATCATCACCTGCAGCTTTTGCCTAAATTAGGAAATAAATAGTAAAACGTGAGTTGTACAGAGCTACACACTACTGCTCCTGCTAACCCCTACCCAAAAGGAGGAATACTGCTAGTTGTAGCAGCCACGTAACGGATGAAACCAAAGCCCAATAGAGCCGTGCAAATGAGTAACAGACGAAGAAGCCTCAGCCGACAGAGAACTCTGGAGGTCCTTTGTACAGGTGCTCCCAAAATAGCTCTAGACTTGATTACTTTCTGACCTGTAAGTTTCCTATCTTGGCCAAGGCCCAGGCTCTTTACTTCAGTAAACGCCATCTTTCAGAGCCATATGGCAGCAGATGACAATAAAACGTATTGCTTTCAAAGGCTTATGAGGTTCTTTATTGGTAGCAACTCCCCTTTCAATGTTTGCAGAAACAACAAAGAAGCATAATTAGTTGAATCATGAGTGGCTACTTCACAGGTTTGTTCCTCTTAAGTAGAAAGACTAAAAAAACCCTACAGTGAGATGGCAACTCATGCACCTGACCCTGACAGCCTCCAACTGACAAAAGTCATAATAAAAAAAAAAACACAGACCATCTCATATTTTAAAAAAGCCAAAAAATAAGTGTCAAAACAACAGCAAACATTTTTGCTCACAGGTTCAAGGAAGACTTTGCAGAAACTGTTATGGAAAATTTTTCTCCCTGAAATCCTGAAACACAAACTGTCACCCTTCATCTCAGTCTCCACCTTAACGTTAAATTTTGAGGCTAGTTTTCATTCAATATACATAACCATATGTCTGGAAAGTCTGGCTATAATCATGAGAGAACTGCAGCAAGCAAATATATGACAGACGAAAAATTAAAAATAGCTGTAATATTATTCATTCTGACTGAACGTTTTGAAACTTACTGTCAAGTCAGTTACTTAACATAAATTTATTTTCCTGGCTTTGACAATTGTTTAAACCTCTCAAGCACTGTGAAACCATTAGACAGAACATGAAGATCAGAAACTCTTTCTGCAGACCACATTATTTGACCTCAGTCATTTAGCCAAGCATGCATTCATGGATCTGTATACCAAACTACCAACAAAATTAATTTCAGTCACTCCTTTTGGAGAGTTACATAGAGAAATTTAGTATTATAAACCTGTGAGTAATTCCCAGTGTGCACCTCTATCCTGTGAGTCAACATAAATATTAGTACTCTGTTCAGGAAATTAAGATATTTCTTACACAGCATTCAAACTCTTACCAGACATGAAAATTTGTTTAAGAACCTAGAAGTATAATGTTGTATGACTACAGAAATACTTAACTGGGGGGAAAAAAACAACTTTCAAGACACAGAAAACTTTTTGCACATTTGGGTTTTCCAGATTAGTACTTCAGCTGGAATAAAAAGGAAGATAATCCAAAACATAGTTCTACTAAAAAACCTAATCAACAGCAGTGTTTGACCTTGTTTACCTTAAAGAGCAAGGTTCCTATAAAAGGAACTGAATTTTAATGACAAGCTTTCACTTGAGTGAGAAACACTCATTCAAAGTAGTAACAAGTCTTTTCAGCAATAGGTACTAATGACAGAATGGGGACAGATATAGGAAATCCTTTTTGCTTACATGCCTGTATTACATTCACTGTCAGCAAAACACCATACCTTGGCCTGATCCTCAAAAAGCTGACGCTGTCGGAAAGGATCATTAAGTTCTGTGTACGCATTGCACACCTCTTTCTTCATTACAAAGAGTTCAAAGCGTTCTGTTAGTCCCGGAAGAGAGCGATGCCTGTGTGAAGTAGACAAAACAGACATACCTTAAAATAATCACACTTACAGAAGCAAACAGCACATACATTACTTAGGGGCATTGCTCACACTTAGCACTAACAGCTGTCAAAATTTCAAAGTACTAAGCATCGACACACCTCTTCCACTTGGAGGATGGGTTTCACAGCTCAGGAACCAAAGTCTATCTTGTTTATGGTAGAATTCCCAAACTAGTACACAAAAACATCAAAATCTCTGTTTTCACATATGCTTTTTTCTTTTTTTTTTAAATAAAGTAGAAGATTTGAGTTACACACTGACCATGTGTCATACTCTTACCATTTGGCAAGCGGACTCATGACCTGTGGGTGATCACAGATGAACGTAGGGTTGATACAGGTGACTTCCAGGAATTCACCAACTAACTGGGAAAACAAAAGTGAAACAATTATGCTGTAGTGTACAATTATGCACTTTCCTAGCACTGCCTTCACCAAGCACCCTAATTTCCTCTCTTTTGCTACTGAAGAAGGTACCAAAAATCTGAAGAGTTTCCAAAGTATTTCTGGTTATGGTAATGTATTCATCAACAGAGAGTGTGTCCTTGTCAGGTAAGGAAAAATGACACAGCAAAATCTGTATAATAATTCAATTTGCAGATTACAGCAAGAGCCAACAGGAAAAATATTAAAAGAACAGCTATCAGACAATATTTGAGTATAAAGGAATACAGCTGATAGAATTATATGGTACTCCTATCCTTTTGGTCAGCTACATACAAATGTATATACATGTCACGTACAAAACTGATCCAAGATAAAGCAAATCTTTTAACCACAAGAGAGCAGTTATTCAACTACAATATCCAAGTGCTCAAGTTAAGCAGACACAAGTAAACTACATTTTGGTGTGGATGACATGAAAGAAGATTTTGACACAGCAAGTTTTCTCACAGTAATATAACAATAGCTGAAGTGCATTGCAGCATGTTTTTCCTGGTGCAGCTAAACCTTTTCTTCTAAGAAATTTCTCTTGATACAGAGAGTGAGATCCTCAGAGACATCAGGATTATAAAAATATCACCTTTACTTACTTTGTCAAGAAGTCTGGCTGTTGTCCTGGGAGGTGGACATTCAACATTTCTCTCCACACAAAGGTTATCAAAGAATCTACGAGTTTCTGAAATTGCAGATGAAAATTAGAACAGCCATCCCAACCATTTTTTTCTCTTACTAGATCCTTCAACTCCTTAGAGTTGAACTCCTTCAAACCCTTAGACCCTTAGATCTCAGTGGCAGACATCATGGAAAACATGAGCTTAAATGTCAATCTAGAGAAATAGTGTTTGGTTTTATTTGTTTACAGTAAAACAGTAATTATTTTATACTTCAAAAATTTTACAACAGTTAAGCACACACCATATAACTGCTGGACATTATTTTTGGAGGCTGTGGGGGGAGAGAGGAGAGAACTGGGGGAAAAAACAATCGCTATAAATTACATGAACTTGTTTCCATATGTCTTTTGATTCCAAGAATAAAACAGCACATAATTACTTTTTTAAGAAAGCCCTGAATAATCATACACCCAAGCTACAATTACAGGCATGGAAACTAAACTGCACAAGAGAGAATAAGAAGCAAAAAGCTGGATCTCTTCAAGATATCAAAAACTCCCTACATTAACCTCTTCAGTACATCCTTTCACATATACTCAACAAAGAAAGAGGCAAGAGTCAGATCCTACCAAAGATGGCAAGGAATGAAGGCTTCTTTCTGGGCTCAGGTAAACCAACAAAACCAGAGGAAAGGAATCACATGTGTTAGTACTACTTCAGAAAAAGCAGCTGACAGATTGTAGCCTGAGAACTTGCAACCTTTTGCCCACTTTCTGTTAAGGAAGAATTATAGGACATTCATACTCAGCATCTAACCTTCAGTTTCAAAACATTCAGTTGATGGAAACTTCACTCCTAGGACCTTTTCCAGATCATACACCATGCTAATTCGCCGGAAAGGAGGAGTAAAATCTATCTCATAGGCCTGTCCATCTTGACCATCTGGATGGTAAGTGATCTTGTAACTCCCAGTAATATGTTTTACCATCCCTACAAGAGGAAGGTGAGGTTTAGAAAAAGAGTATGTTACATAATAAGCAATTCTACCAGAGATTCTTACTAATTTTTTAATAATATTGCATACTTCACCTGAAAGCAACTTCTCTGTAATTTCCATTAAGTCATGGTAGTCTGCATAAGCCATATAAAATTCACAAGTTGTGAACTCAGGGTTGTGAGTCAAATCAATTCCTTCATTCCGGAACTGACGCCCAATTTCATATACTCTGTCCAGACCACCGACCACCAACATCTAAACAAAATTAAATTCTGGTAAATACACTTTCTCAAAAGAACCTAAAAGAGCCCAAACACATGCAACTGCAATGCAACCTTACAAATCTCGTTCATGAGACAAGTTCACCTTCTTTTGAAAATAATCCTCATTTTAGCTCCATTTGCTTTCTTTAATACAGTTTGAAGAATATAGGCTTAGCCATGAGGGGCTTGGATTTTACCTTGTGGTAAAGTTCTGGAGCAATTCTCATATATAAATTCATATCCAGTTCATTGTGGTATGTGATAAATGGTTTTGCCACAGCTCCACCTGGAATTACATTCATCATAGGAGTTTCAACCTGTAACAACAACAACAACAAAAAAATCCCTGTTTTCGTGAAATCTGCTTCCAAACCAGAAATGCATAGATCAAACAAACAAACTGAAACAGCTGGTTTTGGTGACAAATCTGTATTTCACTTATTGTTTGGCATTTCAGTAAATGAAAACAATTCTGAACTAAAGTGCACTGAACAAAACTGCACTTTTTTCATGCAGTCAAAAATAACAAATTACTGAATTCATCTACTGCTCTGGAAAGTCATTCATATTTATTACAAATGTGAACCTGCTGGGTTCATGTTATCCAAGCCAGGAACAGTGCTGTGGCATTATCACAAAATCCCTCCTACACTGCAGAAGATTCAATGAAACAAGGCTAAGTGCAGTTTCCTGCACCTAAGTCAACACAATCAATTTTTGCCTACAGGATGTAGAACTGGCTTTTATCTCCAGAGGCAAAACAGCATTTCAAAAATGTTGTTTTCACCCTAATTTACCAAAACATGGAAAGGACAGTAGTAGTTTGGAGTATTACCTTAATAAAATGTTCCCAAGCCATAACCTCACCAACTGATGAATAATCTTAACTTTACAAAGAGATGAAAGGAATTGCTCCCATTACATTAAGCTGATAAAATACACCATGCTGAGGCAATTATTGTCAGATCTGCAACTACTTTGTACATAAGCCTGAATATGAAACATCCTTGAAGCTAACAAGTTGTAAACACATTCAATACGCAGAGAGAAGCATACACTGATGCCTTACCTCAAGAAAGCCCAACTCATCTAGAAAGCTACGAAGGTAAGTGATGATCTTTGCACGGGTTATAAATTTCTGCCTCACATAATCATTAAGAATTAAATCCAAGTATCTCTGACGATATCTGGTTTCCTGAAAAGAATGTGTATCTTTAGAACAAGCTAGACAAAATGTCATGCCAAAGGAAAAAATACCAAAACAAAACTACTATTCCTTTGTTGACTGATAATATCAGCAGGTAACAAACATCATCCATTCAGATCTACCTGTGGCAGTCCTGCCCATGGCAGGGGTGTTGGAACCAAATTATCTTGACAGTCCCTTCCAACCCAAACCATTCTGTGATCTGTCAAATTGCCTCCAAGACTGACAGGTATGACAAATACCTTATCTTTGAGGCCAAAATGAAGATGAGGCAACATGTGCAGGCATGGAGACAAGAGAGTGATTTCATAAGGAATAATGCTCAGTTCCCCTTTCCTTGTTTTCCCAGGATTCCCCTCTACACCAATAATGTCCCCACGACGCAGCTTGCTGTTAACACGGAAATATTCTTCTTCGGATTTGTAGAGGCTGAAATTGCAAAACAGATGTAAGCGTGTTTGTTTAAAATTCAATATTCCAAACAGTCCTCAAGTGTCTCACAAGACAAAATCCATTAAAATAAAATAAAATTTTAAAAAAAAAATATATATATATATATATAAAGTTATTTTAAGAGGAAGTCAACCACAACATCTGAAGCAAAATATTACTTGGCTGTCTAAGCCAAACCACAGATGGAATAAAATACTCAAATACAGATATATAGACCCCAGAATGCAGTGCAGTTTACAATGCTGCTCGGAATACCTCTACTTACCTGGAATTTGCCATGACCTGCAACTTGACTCCTTCACCACGAAGATCGTAAAAAATCAGTTTCCCTCCAGCAGCACGTTTTGCGTGGATTCGACCTGAATATCAAAGTATGCTAGACATCAGGAAAAGAGTCCCTAGCAGAAAGGATACAGGGGCAAAAGCCACAGTACTATCACTTAGAATCATCAGCTCTGAACAATTCACTAACTGTGAAAGAGTACCAGATAAGTCTAAAAATGAAAACTAGCACAAAAAAGACCGTAAAACCTTTGGGTCCCAGAACCTGATCTTATAGTTGCAAGAGATGTTGCACAGGTCCACTCAGTCTGAAGGATATGTCCTGAATAGTTTAACAGTGCTACGAGGCTTCGTGAGTAAGAGATTAATCCATCAATAAAAGCAGCTACAACTTTACATTTTTCTGTATCCCAGATAAACTTTTACCTGCCACTCTCACTGCAATGTTTGTCAGGTGATCTCCTGGCTGCAGGTGACTGTACTTGTCTATGAAATCTGAGAGAGATAAGTCAACATGGAACTTGTGGGGATAGGGATCTTCATTGGAGCCCTTAAGCTGTTGGACTGCATGGCTACGGATCTTGTAGTATTGCTGTCACCAGAAACAAACAAAATCAAATTATTTTATTAGAATCCAAAAATATATTACAGGCTGTGAATTGAAATGCAGCTGCCCTAATATAGGAATATACATCTTTCCCTTTTTAGCCATTTAATTACCCATGAATCAAAAAAAATCAAATGCAAGTCAGTAAGATTTATTAACAGAACATCTAATATGGCATGGGACCAGATGCTCACATTTGGATCCAAGCTCTCCTCATCAGTACCAACATTATCCTCAGAAGTCAAGGAAGGCTTATTTGAACGCTTTTCACTTTGCTCTTTCTGCTTTGCCTCTTTCTCAGCTGTTTTCCTCTCTGCCTTTAAACGTCTCTTCAGCTCACTGCAAAAGAGAAGGAAACTGGATGCAGGAAGTACTCTAATACTTCTACAGGGAAACGATTGGCAGGATTCTGCCAAAATCTAGCTGAACAAATAACCCTGTCACTTCTCTTAGTTTTCCCAAAATAATTCTTCAACAAGTTTAATCACTTTCTACTTTAAACTCCTTCAGTTCATCCCCAACAATACAAACATTCGTCAAAAGTGAAAGCAGAATTAAACAGTTCAGACAGACCTCGAGGACGCGTGCCTACGTGCTCAAGGACTTGACGCACTCCATTTAAGAGCCTATCAGCCCTATGCAGAGTGTAAATGAAAGAAGGCAAACTCCCTCTGAAGTAACGTAGGGCTCCCGAAGACACTTTCGCGGTCCAGCCTATTCCCCATGGCCCTCAGGCTCCCGCCGCGCTCCTGACCCCGCCTTCCACGACTCCGTAAGGAAAGAAGCGGGCCAAGCCAGACGCAAAGCACCGACCTGCTTTGGTCATGAAGTGCCTGCTGCCATCGGAGCGCGGGCGCGGCCCTCAAGACCCAGCTGCGGAGCCGCGCAGCGCCGGGGCTCAGCATGGCGCTCCGACGGGCGCCTTGACGAAGATACGCACCGGGCCGGCTGGATACACTTCACCTCCCCGGCCCGGCCCCACCTGACCACCCGCCCGCCCTCACTTTTTGCTGAGGTGCGACTCAATCTCCGCCGCGTTGCACTCGCTCGCCGCCGCCATCTCCGCGCTGCCACCTCCCTTCCACTCTTGCACGCCTGCGCACACGGCGGTGGCGGTGGGCGGAGCTGGGGCGGCGATGGCGGGCGGCCAGGCTGGGGCAGCGCGGTCCCGATCACTGTTCCTGTGGGATGACGGGCGTCCTATGCGGTTCTATCTGCGGCCCGGCCTAGCCAAGCTGCGCCTGGCACCCCTAGTGCTGGCGGGCGGGGGACGGCTGTGCCGGGTGCAGGAGCCAGGAGCCGTGCTCCTGGCGCAGCCCGGCGAGGTGGCTCCCGACGGGGCCGTCTCAACCGAGTACGTGACGGAGTGCGTGGAGCGCAACCAGCGG